TTATTATTATTATTATTCTTTTGTACCTGTCTATAATTTGGAAAATTCAAACAAGGAAAAAGTAACCTCCTCCTCCTCCCCCTCCCCCCAACCCCGTCTCCAACCCTAACGATCGGCGTGGATAATTACTTTGAGCGTACTTGTCTTGAGTTAAACTCAAGAAAGAAAAAAAAATCATTTCAACACACAATTGCTCTGTCTTATCTCCGAACAGCTGTAACTAATTTTAGTGTACAATTTTACTGGAAATTTCGACTCCCAGGCCCTCATTCTCAAAGTTAAAAACGTCTTTGGCACAGGATGTGACGTCGACTTGCATTGGACCCACAGAGAGTGGAGCCACCAGACATACGTGGTAGGCCATTCGAAAATTTCGAAATGAGGGATACAGCTGATTTCAGCCTTTTAAAAGTTTAACAGTAAACCTGGCAGACACATTTTCTTTTTTGTTTGTTTTAGTAAAGCTTAACAACACTCGCAACTGCATATGTTCATAATATGAGCACCAAGGGGAAGATGTCAACAGAAACGTCCAAACGGGGAATCAGGCTTACTATGTTCACCTCTCTAGCTTCAAGTCTGCTTCGACTATCAAGGCACCCCGGAAATACCAGTTCACAAGAGAGTAAGGATTGGGGGGGGGGGGAAGCAGCACTTTCATTGAGCATGACATTGATAAATCAGACCATTTACAATTCTACTGTGCATAAGAACAATAGTTGCAAGCGCCGTAAAACACTTTACAAAAAAAAGAACAATATGTTAATATCCCCTTCCCTCTTTTGGGAAAGGACGAAAGACAACTTCAGTCAGTAGCACTGCCCTGGTGGGGGCATGTTCTTTCTTTTATCTCATCAGCTCGATGATATAGTGAAATTATGAGCACATATCAGAAAACGATATACAGAAAAGTGGGAAGACATGGAATAACATCAAGAGGCTAGCCCAGGATAGAGAAAGGTGAAAGGTGTTTGTCCATGGCCTATACCCTGGTGCAGGGTGAGAAAGACAATGATGATAATCAGTACATAATATATGCTTCTATTCAAGATGGATCAGTATATTTTATAATAAACAGCAAGATAAATGAACAAGCTTTAAGATGATACGGATACCTTAATATCATTATTTTAGTCTGGCCAAAGATTGACGAGCGCCTCTTTCCCCCGCATTGCGACACACTGTCTAGCATCTGTCGTGCTGCCTTGCCAGAAACTACTGCTGTACGAAATTTAGTGACACGTCAATGACAACAGGAAATTTAACCAAGAAGAAATTTACAAACCGAATTTCGTGCTACAATGGTGTGAAATCCATAAAATGTTAATTTACACCAACTAGTACCAGTGACGTCTTAACCGTCGATTATACAGATTGGGACGTCATTGTAGTCAGCTTATAACGTATCCGGAGACATTTCTCTCATGATGGTTCACCAGCAAATATTAAAATTGAAGTAATTTTAGAGGTTACAATATTCCTTACCAAGATATCGAACTAACGCCGGTCTCAACAAAACAGTAAAAATCCTAGTTATTACATCTTAGACGTTGGTACTCTCTCTCTCTCTCTCTCTCTCTCTCTCTCTCT